CACATATTTCGTCGGTATACGTTTGTAACTATGTGTTATATGAACAAAACGATATTGTTTAGATAAGAGGAGCGATTATCGAAATTGTGATAAGAAGCAACTTTGTGTAAAAAAATAATTTATACGTTTCGACGACGAGATGCAACGTACGTACGTTATCACCGGATAGAAAATAAAAAAACCAATATACAGATCAAGGCCGGTTTTTCTCGACTTACACATTGAAACTGCTCGCGAGCATTTTTTGCTCGTGCTTCAATCTTACTTATAGATAATTTCACAATATTGCGCAATAATCTCGTACGTTCCTCGCAATGACGCGCTTTTTCTTTGTAGTTCATATAAAATTCGTTACTTTTCGCGCAATAAAAATATTGAATACCAAAATATATCCTTCGAAGTTCCCGCAACGAAGTTTAACTTTGTTAAGCGAATCGACTTCTCGTATAATGAGGGCACAATCAACTCGTCTCCCTCTCTGAACTCGTCTCTTTAACTTTCACGTACATTGAGACAATTGGTTTCGGAGAAGCGGCGCCTCTCTTACAACTACTAGCAGTTTTCCTCTTTGCAGCGAGCAGTTTCAAGTAAGAACGCACGGTGAGTGCGTTTCGCGATGCGTAAAGCTTATCGATTCGCGTCAGGGAAAGACTCTCAGATTGAAACGAGTTTAAAAAATAAATGAATATAATATTAATTATAAAACACATTTCTCTCTCATTACTTATCCCCTCCTCTTCTTATCTCAAGTATTTCTAATTAAAGAGTTAATTATAAAGACAGAAAGGAAGTGAAACTAAACACATCCCTAAGAAGAGGTTAATTATTTAGTTTTTTTTTTCGCTCAACAATTTATTCAATTTATTCAACTTGCAAAAAGTTTAAGTTGAAAATTCTAAATAATTGAAAAATCAACGTCGTTTTTTTGGTTCTCAATAACTTTTCGGTACGAATCAATGAACGTTATAGTAACTTTATTTCGCTAGATATCGATCTGCCGCCCTATATCAACGTGAACGAGCCACGGTGCGCACCACATCCCAGCGCATACATGCGGAGACTCCAGTTTCTACAGTGGTAATGTCATCTCTCTGTAACGTCATCCCCGATGCGCCGAGATTCACCTGGCCTTTAACTCCCACATCAGATATCCAATGACAATGTCTCTCCCTACGCATCACTTCTGACATTAATCTCTTCTCTCTCTCTCTCTCTCTCTCTTTCCCTCTCTCTCTCTCTCTCTCTCTCTCTCCCTCTCTCTCTTTCTCTGTCTCATCTTTCACACACAAAGCAGACTTCGATCGCTCTTCGATTCAAGAGACGCGCACGCTTCCGAGACTGTTTTAACACGCGTGCGAAACGCTCCTCCATTGTGGCCATGTTGCACAATTCAGTGAGTGGAAATTCATGGAGGTTGAAGTGCGCTCGAGTTTTTTGCGCATGTCAATCTTGTTTGAACGAGACTTTTATGCCGCGACGTTCAAAATAATATATTAAGTTAAATCTGTGTGAGCGCAAAGTGAATAGATATTTGATTGTTAAACGGATTAAGATGTGTGATGTTTTTCTTGAAGAGCGCGTACGATTTATTATAAAACTCGATGTGATTACACGAGTCTCGAAAGCGAAAATAAAATAAGCGCACTGATAGATACCGATACTTTTTCTTGAACTCGCGCTGAATATGGGATTTCGTTTTTCACGCGCGGCGCCGTACATGTCCGCGCAAACCAATATGCTCATATTTATTTATGTAGTCTCGCGCGCGCGTTGTGTAGCGCAACGAGTAACCGGTGCCGTACATGCATTGTGAATCAGCGCGCGCAATGGGAACATATTGTGTTCTCGTTTCTCTATTCATCCATTTATTGGCTGTACGATTCATCCATTTATTGGTTGAAAAAAAAAAAAAAAAAAAAAAAACAGAAATCTCAACCGCATGTTATGAATATATTTCTCGCGTCATCACAAATTATCGGGGAAATTAAGCGTGAGTCTCTCTTTCGATTTCTAATTAATTATAAACATGATCGGAACGATTACTAATCTGTGACACTCTCTCGCCAACGCTATCATCCGAGCGTTGTATTATTATCGTCTTTAAAATAGAATGGCTCAGCTATATATATACGTATCGATAATTTTGCCGTTACAATGTTTATTGTTCAAACCGATCACTTTGTGCTGAATCTTACTACTTTGTCTGTCACTGAATTTCAATTAATTTAATGAAACATTCTTGTGCGTACGGTTTCCGGGTTTGAGTCGCGTTTGTGTCATTGTCACATCGACGTGAACATTTCAACAGTTTGCCTCATCAGAATTTAAGAACAGCCTGATATTATGGAATTAAAAATGTCAAATCGTAACTCAAAATTTTTCACCTCTTTCTCCACCATAACTGCTTTCTAGTATCATATATTCGAATACATTTTCTGACTGAAAATGTTCTTTGACAGGCTTCCCTTTATGTAGCGCTGGGTCGATCAGGAAAAGAGATGCAGTTTTCCCGTAAGAGATTCTAGTTTCTCGATCAAAAAGCATGTTAGGTCGTATGTAGGTATCTATATATAGTCCTGGGTCTGAAAGATATTACTTTTATGATCTTGAGTAGTCCATACGAAACTTTAGCGACAACAAGTTTGGGAAACCGAGATGCGTGAAAAATTGTTTCGTTTTACAAGGTTTGTAAGAATCTTTAGAGTCGGGCTTGTGTCCTTTTTTAGTTTTTTATATGCCAACCATAAATATTGTCTGAACGTTATTTTTTACGCACGGATAACGCAAAAAAAAGTTAAAGGATTTAAAAAAAATATGCAAATAATCTCAAGGAAAACAATGGATAAAAAAAACGACCAGTCCATTTTGATTATCTGTTTTTTCAGTTCCATAATATTTTTGATAACACATTTTCTTTTACCACATCACACATCCTCCCTTTACTCTTTCACTAATCAACTGAGCATCTACAAAGGAACATCCGCCGATGAGCACTTCGTTGTTGAACTACTCGTAAACTTCCGGTGAAGTGAACTAAAGTTTCCACGAAACGATATGAAAATGACACAACGACGCGGCTTCAATCCGGAAACCGTGCACAAAAATTCTACATTTCACGAAAATATCATATTAATGAAACGTGTTTGTTTTTATACGATATTAAAATTCGGTTACTATTAAAAGTAATAAACTTATGTATTCAAGTAGGTTTCCTTCTGGAAGTTTAATTTGAGTGAAAGAAACATAAACGTTTCTACGATTTACGGCAGCAGCAGCAACCCTCGTATTCCGGAGTTCGTACTCGGTCGCGTAAACTGCGCAGTTGCGCTCGAGTGTCGTTTTGTCGTGTCATACGCGCCTTTACAGCTCCGAAGTGCACGCGAACATCGGTGTGTGTGTGTGTGTGTGTGTGTGTGTGTAGCCTCTCACTCTCTCCCTTGTCGAGATCCCATTGCTACGTGCTACACGTTCCGCCTCTGCTCTAACTTTGTAAGACTGCCCGAGTCTGTGCCGCATGCACTTGTGTGCCTCCCGAGCGCAGAACGAGTAGCCGCCAAACGAGATATCGTATACAAACAAAGTTTAAAACATAAAAATTATAAAGTGATACTTTTTAACATCAACAATCTTCGCGACTTTTTCACATAAAATATAAAAAGATAAGATTTTTAATATTATTTTTATATTTTAGATTTTTACATCTACCTTTCTGATTTATTTTTTTTTTTTTTACGTAAGTTATTACCGTAGTAATTTTATGTCACAGTATTTATCCTTCTTAGAATTGCGAGATATGTAATCATTGTATATTTTGATATATTCTTGATACTGAATAATGGACCGTGTATATCCAATGACTGCAAACACATGATTGCAGTAAATGTTAGTGTTCGAACGGAGCTCACTCAGGACAGCAGACAATGTATTGTCACGCTCAACCCCCCACCCCAAAGGTAAATCGACTACCCTCACCATCTCGTCTCTCGTTTCTCGCCACGGATTGCGCGCGCACGTGCCCCCACCGCTCGACCAATCGGCCGCGCGAGTGGCGCGCGTAGTGAGGGAGAGCCGGTTGTCGCCGCTAGGCAGAACGTGCGGCCCGAGTAGCTGCGAAACTACAGAATCATTACCACGCCAGAACTCGAGGAGAATAGTCGTGTTTACCTTCAGCTCAGTCGAGATCCTGTGTCGTAGCTTCGCTTTCTCTTTTCGCGCGCCGCCCTTAAACCACACGCGTGTGATATATCGCGCCAAAGAGGACAAGTTCACCGCCTTGACGACAGAGAACGTGTTATCGCCGAGAACGCAAAACTCCTGATCTCGTCTTGTCGCGCCTGCCAGTAATCATCTCGCACGCGCTTCGGGAACAGCTCACGTGACAAGCTCGCGAGATAAATCTTGTGTACTTCGTGGAGTAGATCGAAATCGACACTGTGTTTATACTCTTGAGAGTGACGTGAAACCAACTGGTGCAGTTAGTCGGACGATCAACTCGGTTATTGGACATTGCATGTGTTCCCGAAGATGTTTTATATTCTCCCCGTGAGACATTCGCTTGATCTTTAATCAAGTTTTAACGTGCTCTTCGCGTCACTAAGTTCAGTGTTCGAGCAATCGATTAGCACGTAGTCGCGAGAAGAGACAATTATCTCGCGATTTCTCAGTGACAGCACGTTGAAAAGCAATCCATTGTCGAGAGAGACACTTTTCTGAAAACAAATTTAAAAACAATCGGCAGAGATAAAAAAAAAAAAAAAAAAAAAAAAAAAAAGAGAGTGTGTGTTGCAGCCTTTAACATCCCTTG